CTCCCTATCAACCTTTCTGTCATAAACATCCCAATCGAGATTTACATTACGGTTCTTTCTGTCTTCAATCATCTGCCGTAAATTCGATTCTTCCCAATGAAGTGCCATCGCACGTTCTAACTTCATTATAGCCGTCACTATATTGCCCCGACATTCACTTTTAATCATTTTTTTAAATCGGTGTCCAACATGAAATGAAATCTTATCTCCTTTAAATCTCCTTCCAATACATTTCTCAAGTGCCTTTTCTATCAAATATGGTTTGAGTGGAGGAAAATCGATTACTTTACATGATGGGGAATCGATGATCTTTTTCGACAACACCGACCCGTAATACGCATTTTTTCTGAATGAATACCCGGTGGCTGTCTCATAATCGCTGACTATGAGTTCGTCAGTATACGTGAGAACAAGGGGCCAGTAGGCTGTCCTTTTTCTAAGCCACTTTTCTATCAATTCGTTAAACTTGTCTTTTGCGTTCGGGGAGCAAAAGCAAGTGTTAACGTCGACGAGAACAATTTGTGTATCCATATTCATTTTCTTGGTTTCCTTGCTCAGGCTGTCAGAATGTGCTGTAATAAACTCTTGTAGTTGACCTAAAACAGAGGTGTAACGACCATTCAGTTGAGATACCGTGGATTCAATTTCAAATTCCGATACACCAATACATTTCTCTTTGGCAATAACCTTAATGGCGGTTGTCTTCACAGAACCGGTTGGTCCGTGTATAAAAAGCAGTTTATGATTTTTTAAACCTTCTTGAGTATAATTCGATTTATGTAAGGAGAGGTCAATCCAATTACAAACTTCTTTGACTTTAGCTGGGTCTAACGCCAGCTCGTCTATACCGAGAGGTGAAAATTGTTGGATCCATGGAACCTGATCAAGTATAGAAGTCGACGACACTCCATTAACAGGAGGAGTCGAGAGATGCCCCTCGATAATAGTCGGCGTCTTCCTGAATGTTTGAGAATTCGTCGTTCTCGAGGATCTGACAGAAGAAGGTTTTACGGTAGGAGTTGAAGGTTTCTCTGTCGTTGCCTTTGATAATTCTGCTGTAGGCGGATTCTCGGCAGTAACGGATAGTGTTTTCTCCTTTGATGAAGCATTGAATGCCCCAGTTATCGCGAAATACTTCCTCGACAAAGATTTCGTTGATTTGACCACTCTAATATGTGGAAAGTGCTCTAATACAGAAGGGGGTGATATCTTTTCTATTGACAACGATCCCATTTTTTTTGATAATCCGGTTGGTGAGTTCTCAGCAGTTGTATTTGATACCCGCTCTTTTGTTAGCGCCTTTATTTTCTTTGGAGATTCGGGTTGTTCAAAAGAATTCCATCGCCTCTTGCGAGAATTAGAATGGCTATTATTGCCATTGCCTATGCACTTGTTCAAAATTTGCTTTTCTCCACCATTCAGCCAATCATCACATTTGGGAATGATTACTGTTAGCTCTCTGGGAGAATGTAAGGTGTCTCGAGTTACATTATGTAACTCGTAATGGGGTTCCTCCATTTTCCCACCAAAAATAATGGCCACAGCATTTGCACATCCCTTAATATGCTTAATATGTTAACCGAACCGGATCGGATCGGATCGATCTGCGGTTAAATCAACATGGCATAACGGTTATTCCCGGTTTGGTTAACTATAATTTATTTATTAATACTATTTTATTAAATATTTCAATTCTTTATTATACTAAAAACAAGCGTAAAGGCTTGGGCGTTGCTCCAAGTTTAGTTATTTAAGTTTTACTTTTTTTAAAAAATTATAAAAAAT